TTTTAGAGAATATGATAAAATAAATTATGTATTTATTGTTAATTTTTCCGATTTGATTTAAAAAAAAAATACAAGAGAGAGTATAGTGATGAAGCGGAATCTTAGGGAAGATTTCTAAAATTATGTCTCTTTTTTTATGATTGTAATATCGAGTAGCTCACAAGCCTCAATTGCAACTTCATCAGTATTTGTTATCTCCTATCATGTACTAAGTACTAAGTAACGTTTCTCATTTAGAGTTAGAAAAATAAAAAGCAATCACCTAGTGTTTTCGTTCAATTAAAAGATAGCTTCTACACGCCGTATGTTTTAGCAAACTTTTAGTTTCATTAACTCGGGAAAAATTTAGAAGACATGGAAGTTCTGCACTAAATTGCACTACAATTTGTGTAACAAGAAAAAATTAATCAAGTCAACGGATAGAAATTTCATATGAAAGATATATGGGGAGCGTTAAGATAGATTCGACTGAACTCAATAATTTTAGTTCAAATCATGCATTTTATTTTAGAATTTTATTTGAATACATACAAATAATTAATTCAGAACCAGTAATCTAAAAAGATGAGAACCGAGACTCAATAAGGTTCAAGTCTTAGCTTGGCGCCTATCGTGCAATGTGCTAAGTACAATCATGCACTTGATTGAATTTACTTAGAAAATTAGGGAACGATTTCTCACTTAAAATACATTTTTTCCTTCTTTTCTTTGATGATGCACTCATATTCTAAAAATTTTAGATTCAGTCACGTCCGACATTAAAAACTTTCAAGTGTGAGGCAACTTGGTCCGACTCTGAACCAAGAAATTTATAATAACAGATGAAACAATATCATCAAATTAGCTTTCACTAGAGCAGCCTCTTCAGACAAAGCCCTTTTTATATTAAATATATATATATACAGGTCAAGATAAAAGGGAAAATCATTTTTAGCCACCAAAAAATTGGTCATTTTCCAATAGTACATCTTTAATTAGCTCCAAAATTAATCCCACTTGTGTGTAGGGTAAGAAGGTCCAATAAGTAACTGTGACCAGAATTCTTGTAAAGTGGACTTGGACTTTGGGGGGTTGGGACTTGGGTGGGGCATTGTGAGACTTGGAATAATGTAAAGAATTGTAGGACCAAAAATAAGGTAATTAAATAGCAAAATCCCACTAGTTATATAATTCCTAAATTCTTGATTTCTTCTCCTATAAATACCCTTTCAAAGAATCACTCTTTTCTCATCAAACATTTTAATATTCATCTCTTCAATCTCTTGTATAATTCACATCATATAATTTAATTACCAAGAAAAATTAAGATGGAGAACTTCCCAATTATCAACTTGGAAAATCTTAATGGAGATGAGAGAGCCAAAACCATGGAAATGATCAAAGATGCATGTGAGAATTGGGGCTTCTTTGAGGTAATAATAATTACATTTCGCATAAACATACAACGTCACTTTCTATATTGAGTAACTCTGTAATTCCAACATCCTACCACATGACTTAAAAGACTACAACGTGACAATATTTACTTTCATAAACTTTACATCGAGTCATACTAAGACACATAAAATGAAACAGAAAATATTCTAATCTTTGTACATAGATGTTTTTTCTTAATATGTTCATGTGATCATTGTAGTTGGTGAACCATGGGATTCCACATGAAGTAATGGACACTGTGGAGAAATTGACAAAGGGACATTACAAGAAGTGCATGGAACAGAGGTTTAAGGAATTGGTAGCAAGTAAGGGACTTGAAGCTGTGCAAGCTGAGGTTACTGATTTAGATTGGGAAAGCACTTTCTTCTTGCGCCATCTTCCTACTTCTAATATCTCTCAAGTACCCGATCTTGACGAAGAATACAGGTACATACATGTGTCCTACATATTGCATATATAATAAATAAACACAAAATTTAAGTTATATACACTGACAATATAACTAATTATAATGTTGTACCAAATGATGCAGAGAGGTGATGAGAGATTTTGCTAAAAGATTGGAGAAGTTGGCTGAGGAGTTACTTGACTTACTCTGTGAAAATCTTGGACTTGAAAAAGGTTATTTGAAAAATGCCTTTTATGGATCAAAAGGTCCCAATTTCGGTACTAAAGTTAGCAACTATCCACCATGTCCTAAGCCCGATTTGATCAAGGGACTCCGCGCTCATACAGACGCAGGAGGCATCATACTTCTGTTCCAAGATGACAAAGTGAGTGGCCTTCAACTCCTCAAAGACGAGCAATGGATCGATGTTCCTCCCATGCGCCACTCTATTGTGGTTAACCTTGGTGACCAGCTTGAGGTACAAGATTCACTGAAAGTGTGTGTGATTTTCTCACTAAAACTTAAAAGTAGTACTCCTCCCTCTGTTTCAAAAAGGATGTCTAGTTTGACTTGGAACGGAGCTTAAGAAAAGAAAGAAGATTTTTTAATCTCGTGATTCTAAATTAAAGTTCTGTCAAATGTATCAAAACGTCCTTTAATCACATGATCTTAAACATGCCACGTGGAAAGTTAAAGTTTAAGTGTTACCAAAAAAGTGAAGGGGTCATTCTTTTTTCTAAACAGACTAAAAAGGAAATAGAGTCATTCTTTTTTAAAACGGAGAGAGTACTAAAAAGGGTATTTATGAAATGTTATAAAAACAGGTGATTACCAACGGGAAGTACAAGAGCGTGATGCACAGAGTGATTGCACAAACAGATGGGACTCGGATGTCACTAGCATCATTTTATAATCCAGGAAATGACGCGGTGATCTATCCAGCACCATCTCTAATTGAGGAAAGCAAGCAAGTTTATCCGAAATTCGTGTTTGATGATTACATGAAGTTATATGCTGGACTAAAGTTTCAGCCAAAAGAGCCAAGATTTGAAGCAATGAAGGCTATGGAAGCTAATGTGGAATTAGTTGATCAAATTGCAAGTGCTTAAAGAAAATTATTATGTTCTTGGAAGTTATACAAACGTAGCTAATTAAACACATAATTATACAAAAGATGGTGTATGTGTGTGTGATTGTTGTGTGGTATTTTAAAGGGTTCTAAAGCTTGTGATAAAAAATAATCTGATAAATGAAAGTTACTTTATAGTACAAATGATTGCTAGTGTCCTGTTCCTTTTTACAAGTTACTAATTTTTAAGCATTCTTAATTCACTGTTGAGAAATTCAGTATGACCAAATTTCAAATATCATTTGTACGTTGAAAATAATATTTTGTTTCAAATTTTAAAATAAAACAATGATCAAACGCCCGCTTATATTGTTGTTGGACAAGTGTATTATGAAAATTTTTATTAGATGAGACCAGGAACAGAGAAATTTAAAAAGGATTAGGTAAAAATGAAAGGAATGATGATCCCTTATAATTAGCCAAAGGAAAAATAGTTGCACATTATTGTGGAAATTGCAATAGACTATGGTCTATGGGTGTGTTCGATAGAAGGAAAACATTTTTTGATTTTCTCGTATTCAGTTGGTTAAAATTTTTGAAAATGTTTTGCATAAAAAAATAATTTCTTAAAATGACAAAAAAAAAATTCTAATAGAAATAAAGAAAATAAGTTTTTTTTCCACCTTCATTGTGTCATCCCCACCCCCAACCCCCCCCCCACCCCCCTATTAAAATAGGTAATGTATCAGTATCCTTTCGGTTTACTTTTTATGCAAGAAAAGGATAAAACTTTCTTTGTCATCAACGTCTTTTTAATGATGAAAAAGTTAAGCCTATAATCTTGACCCATACTAATTAAACTAACATCAGTCAGAGTGTTGTAGAAATTTATAATTAAACATGGAAGTTGACGTGGGTATCACATAGTGGGAAAAATAAATTGAGTAGTGAGAAATAAGAATATAAATGAACTTCACTAATAAGATGAGTCAACTTCACTTCAAAGCAAACTATTCTCTCCGTTTCGACACTTTCAAATTTTAGAGATTCAAACAAGTTTATATTTCATCATAAATTATTTACAAATCTTTTAAATATTTTTTGACTGTCAATTATTAAGACTTATAGTACTTTTACAAATATATGAATATCATTTTAAAGAAGAAAAAAAGATAAAGAAGAACAAAGCTGATTTTCATTGTTTAAATTCTTTAACAATATTTTCATCAAGATCATCTTAACATATAAACTTTATGTTGTCAACAATGGCTACTAATTCAGCAGGTATATTCGTCATAAGACAAAATGAATGAGTCGATGACCATTATCAATAATCGTTTTCCTTGTCTTTTTTTGTTTGTTTAAGGGAGGGGCTGGGTGAAGGGACAGGGAATAACCTTTGTACATTCTGTTTTTCTTTTTATTATTTTCGTTTTGTGTTCGACACTCACACTCTTTTTAAAAAGGTATTTTTATATTCAAAAAGACTCGAATTCGAAACTTCTTATTAAAAATGAAGGAATACTTACTCTCTTCCCACAACATTCGACTTTTATTTATAGGAAGGAGGGAAATTATTCTGAGCACTTCATTCATAAGTTTTATGAATCCATTTATTAAAAATAATGATTAATATGAATATCTTATCACAATATTCATGTTAACTAGTCTTTTGGTTCCATATTATGTGGCATTTTTGAATTTCGATATTCAAACAAATTTATTTCTATTTATAATATTTTTATAGATCTTCTAAACATTTTAAATTATCAATTATTGCGACTTATAGTACTTTTCACGTAGCTTACGGACATATAAATTTTATTTCAAAAAAAAAGAAAATTTCACACACAAATTCTCGATCTAACTTAAACTATTTGATTCTACAGAAAACGAAAAAGTCTCATATAAATTAGGAAGAATTGAGTAATATAATCTAAGATGTTGAGAAATGATTTGCCATATAAATAATAAAATATAAGGAGTAATAATGTACCATTTTTGGTACAGCAAGGCTTAGCTCTTTTCCGGTGCAGATGAATAAACCGGTATTTTCTCTTTCAGTTGCTGCTCCGGGGAAAGAAGTTTCATTTGCTTTGGTAGTCTCGTACGTATTCTAAATTAAAAGATTCCCGTGAAAGGGCTGAAAAGGAAGTTCGAATGAAGTGAGAGCAATGACGTCTAGATACTAGAGATTAGATTAAGTAATCAATAGTTTCATTTAATAGCTTCGACCTACGATGAAATCGAGTTAAAGGGAAACATCACAACTAAGTTGGAGCTGAATAAATAGTTCGACAAAATTCTTCAAGTTACCCCTCGAAGATATTTCAATTGATAAATTCAAAATCTGAAGTTCTGCACCAACCTATATATCGTGAATTGATCATTTTACTCTTCAATCATCATCATCCGATGTCAACAACTAGAATTTTTAGAAGGCTACTATGAGGAAATTCCATCAAATGCAACATTTGCATATCATCATGGCACCTTAATGTCTCACAAATTTGTAATGAAGTAGAAAATGGCTTATATCATGCTAGTAAATTTAAATAAGCCGTGAGATTTAAGTCGAATACAGGATTGTATTGAAATATGCAAAAACTACAAGAGTCTCGTTTCTTCTCTTCTAACCCATTGAGCACTTGTTGCTTGACCTTCCTAGTTACAACATGATAGGCTTACAACATACTAATAAGTTACACAAAGATACCAGAAACCAGGTCGCATCACCGGTACAACTTACTTTCTAGTAGCCGCCTTGGTCTAATCATAGTTGGCAGGACGAACCTGGATGGAGAGAACCAGTTCTACTCCTGGTAGTTATGACAAATAACACTCTTCTCAACATTTGACAAAACGGTTTCTTTACCAAGTGATGGAATCTAACAATGAAATCTAAGCATATATCTATACTAAACACATTACAGACAATTCAAGGAAGCTGAAGCTAAGAGCTCTCCAAGAAGCAGATACTCATAAATCTTATTTAATTGATCTTGTGATGGAAAAAGAATGACCATTTCCTTCATTAACGACATGAACTTCTTCAAAAAGTCACCAACTCTTCCAATTTATTGAACGCTAAACACAGCAAAGAAAAGAAGCAGAATCCCTGTTTACGTGTACTGATTGATTGTTACCTCTTTGAACACGAAAATGGCAGTGACTGTTGTTTGAAGCTGGATGCATCAAAAAGCTCCATAAACCTCTGATCTGAGACTCTTGCTTTGGCAGCAGCAAAACGCTGGTACTCGTCAAACACAGAAGTTAGGCACCACTTCTGCAATTTTCTCAAGCATCCAACAAGGCAACCAGTTCGGTGCTGGAATATGGACAAAAAAGAAGTATAATTTAAGTAAGGTACTCTTACTTTGGAATTGAGGCTACAACATAATAAGTAAATATTACACACCTTCCCACGTTTGCAGTGGATTAACACCGGGTGATTTCGAACATCTGTGAGCAGCAGGTTAAAGACATAAGCACAGGAAGATAGAAGTACTAAACTCACTTTGATTAAAAGTTAGTATTGGCATTTGAAAGAGCATACCAATTAGAACCCCCAAAGCTTCACGAATTTTCTCTTCTGGAATATTTACAAAAGGTTCCTGAGAGCATAATTGTAAAAATCAATCACCAATAATTATTTTTCGTACAAGAACAAAACAAAATACTCTTCTCGGTCACCAACAGATGTGATCAATCCTTTAACATCAATGAAGTCCAATGAACCATGCCGAAAATCTTCTACAATATCTCAAATATGCAATGAACCCGGGGGAGAGGACCAAAAAAAGAAAGAACAAGATTATTTGAGCCCTTTTCTATATTTCCAGCATGATTTTAGTGACTGTTAAATGAGTTATTTTCTTCTATTTTTGAACCTTTTCTTACTAGCAAATTAAAAAACTACCAATTATTTTTTATTATAATCTCAAGATGGATTCATGGGCCATGTCGCATTGATTGCCGCACTAAGCAAATCTCAAGCCTGGAATAAAGTGTGACTCAAGCAAATCTTCAGTAACTCTTATAGCTGTTGATGAGGTAATAAAAACAAACTAAAAGGAAAGGAATCAGGTTCTTTTTTGAAGAATAATTTTTTACCAGATATGCGGGAATATAGAGTAGTCTGTCTCGCGATAACTGAGACAGACATTTGAGTTTTGACATTTTAGCTGGGACAAGAGAAGACTGAAACCAACAACCTACCTCACATAGCAACTGGCTGGTTAATCAAATAGCCATAGAAAGACAAAAAGAAATAGGAAATTTTTTGCTAACTTCAGCAATTAGATGTTAAGATAGAAAGACGACGATCAAGCAACACATGATTTGACCTCTGCTTGAAGATCCAAAAGAAACACAGAAGCTTTACCAATTCGTTAAATGAATGAAATGGAAGTCTGTAATTAAGTTTTAACTTTTAAGTGATTGCCAATGTGCCTTGTGTTTCTGCACCTAACCTTTCCATTGTCATGCTCTATCTCTCTTTTCACAGTGAAGAAGAAGACTATCCTGTTTAGTTAGTCCTGATAAAAATAGCTACACGAAAGTTGGATCCAATGAACCCAGATCACAACTCACAACCAGTTTGGAAGTATTGTTACTTCTAATTTATTGAAATTCATGTGCTCTATGCTCAAGCGACATGCGGAGAATAAGAAGTCCAAAATACAGGATAGGAACAATGATGTGGTATTAATTCTTCCAAGCTATAATTACAACTTAAGCATAATTCAAGTTTAAACATGACTAGACATGACTAAACCTTCTCAACGAGGGGTAAACTTAATGTTACTACAGATGGTTACTATGAGACATGCATAACCAACAGAACAAAAACTAATAGATACGAAAAAATCTTAAGCTAAGGTCACACGAGGCAGAGCTAAGAATACAATAATCGAGGTTTCCAGTTAATACATATCTTCTGCTTTCTATACAGATACAAGGATTACGAAACACATAAGTGTTGAGGTATACGAGTAGGACATAGAATCTTGAAGGTAGATACGGATAAAGAATACACATCTTCTTGAAGGTTGATTCGGATAAAGAATACGCATCTTAAAGTCAGTGCCTTCTAAAGACACTCCTAGTGGGCATAACTAAGAGAGGTAATTCTGGTGCCAACTAGGTGGTGATTTAAACAAGGATGTGACTGGAAAGACAATGTTTTGAGTTTTAGAAGTAGATTCTCGCAAATCAAAACAACAATCAGAAAAGGAAAAAAAAGAAGAATAAACATAGCAAGACTTGTACTGATTCTTTTCTAAAGTCATGCTTGTGGTTATCCTTAGATCATTATTTGCATCACTGGAAAGTAGTACTAATAATTAAATCTCAAAACTCTATGTGGACCATGGCCTTTAAGATCAGCAACAGCCAAATTCTAGACCTATCATCTTGAGGCATTCTCTAAAATACATTAAATTATTGTGCAGCTTTTCATCACAATCCGAACCCTTCACAAATTAATTTTCCTTAAACTTCTGAAAACCAAAAATTGACACGGTCATTTACTTCCCTCCTTCCACATGACTTGAGCAGAAGATCATCATACGATGAGGACAGAAAATGAATAAATCAAGTCTTGGAGAATCATGTATACTATGTACAGATACAAATAAACAAGCATCATATCATGTTTACAATACGGAAACAGAGATTATGTATTCTGCCGAAATTTTATATTCGAAAAAACTGTCCCGTAGTTCTCTTTTACAATGAACTGTAAATCCTTTCAATTACTTTTGTGCGTCTCTCACATTTAACCTTCATCATCTCATTTCTAACTTGAAAAAATGGCACTCTCTCCTCTCGGTCAAGTCAATTCATGAATTTACCATATTTAGCTTGAAATATTAAATGTGATGATTTTACTTTAACTTCAGATTTTATGCATATATAACCAACCGAATCAACGGAAAGAAGCAAATCTATCAACATCAGAGAAAATGACAAACGTACTTTGCTATTTTTAATTCCAAACTGAAACAAGCGAATATCATTTTCCTTGAGAAACTCCATGTTTGCTTCTGGATATGGCTCTGGACACAGGTATCTGTCAACAAAATAAAAAATCCCTAATTCATCAATTCTCGTCGAAATACTTAAGCTAAATAACTAGTACTATCAGAATAGTAATACTAATTAACTTACATAATAGAACGAAGTCCAAGCGTTTGAAGAAACGAGAAGTTATCTACATCAGGGAAACCAGACCGAAAAATGCCATTATCAACCATAGCGAAGTTAAGAGGAGGAATGAAAAAGTCTTCCTCGTTCTCATCGGCACAACTGTAATTAACTTCAAAATCATAGGGATTATCGTCGGCGGTTGGGACCGGTGAAAGCTTGATAGATTGCGGAGGAGGTAGCGGCTGAGAACGGTGATGCTGCCGCTCGACGACGGCGATTTCGATGGTTTTACACGTGTCAGCTGTGGAAGCAACGGTTGCGTGCTGTTTCATAGTGACTGAAGAGAGAGAGAGAGAGGGGGGTTTTTGAAAATTGAGTGGAATTGGAGATTCTGATACTACAGGGGAACTTTCTCGTTTTGGAACTTGGAATTTATAGGCGCAAAAAAAAAAACTAGTCACTTTTTAGACGAGGGAAACAGTTTTCTAGGGGCATGGGGTAAATAGCGGGTGGGGTGGTTAAAATGCGCCATTCCACGGTGGCTGCGCAATGTGGACACTCAGTACACGTCAAATGGACAATGCGTATGCTTTTTTAAAAAAAAAATAAACTGATCATCTAAATTAAGAAAATCCACTCATTCAACTAATTTTTAAATTTACTTTTCAAATATTCTAGTGTTTATTACTCCGCAATAAATTAAAAAAATTATTTCAATTTATATCATATTTTTAAAATTTAAAATTTAAATAAATTTAATTTTGATCATAAAATTTTGGGAAAATTGTATATAATAGCAAACTAATAACCTAAATTAAATAGAATAGCTAGGGTTTGATTTAATTGTGCTCCATAGCAAACATTAGCTAAAATTTGCCAGCATATCTCTCCCAAAAAAACTCGCTCGTCACTCTCCATTCTCGCTCGCCTCTTTCGCTTTATACACAGAAGTGTATAATTCTGTTTCAGTTTTGTATAAAGTGAGAGAAAATTGTATATACACATGCAAAAATGTATATCTTCGTGTTATACACTTAATTATACAATTTACAAATATTTTACTTCAAATATTGCAGAGAAAAAGGCCAACGAATTATACAATTGCGAATTATACAATTGCAGTAAAATACAATTTTCTCTAGCTTTATACAACAAAAGTGTATATATATTGTGTTTCTGTTTTTGTATAAAGTGAGAAAAATATATATCTTCTTGCTATACACTTATAATTATGCAATATACATACATTTTAATTCGATTCAACTGTATGCAAAACAAATTATGCAATTGCAGCGAAATAGGCCAGCGAATTATACAATTTAGGCCAGCGAATTATACAATTTAGGCCAGCGAATTATACAATTGTATATGTATAGCGAATTATACAGTTTAATGTTTGCTATGGAGTGCAATTATGCAAACTTTGCTATAGCATCCAAATATGAATTTTTTGTTTGCTATATGTGAAAATTGCCCTAAAATTTTCATATATCTTTTAAATATTTTGAATTGTTAATTTATTATGATTTATAATATTTTTTTATGTATTTTATAAATATATAAATTTTATTTTAAAAAATTTAAAAATTTACTATGTAAATTTTCGATCAAATTCAAACTTATTGACTCTGAAAAAAATAAAAAAACTTACATAAATTTAGAAGGAGTTAGAAAGTAATTACTTTATTACATAATAGTTTCATATAATTTATTCATACTTTACATTAAAGTGGGGTGAACATAGGGGTAAGTTATTATAGGGTTATGGGGAAGATGGTATGAGAATTTGACATATTAGAACTAGAGTGGGATAAGGTAATTAGTCAAAGAAATATGTACAGAAAAATTTGATTAGAATTTGATTAGAAAATTAAAAAGTGAAAAATGTATTTTTTGTTATAAATAAAATTATTATTTTTTATTTTTTAGTTAAAAGATATTAAAATTCAAAAGATAAAATATTTTGAAAATAAAATAAAATAGCATAGATAAAATATTTTTCTGATTAAATTTTAGCCAAAAAGATTTTTTCCCTATTATGAAATATCATTTACATATTTTTCTTTCTTCTAAAACACTAATCTTTTAAAAACTTCTATAGAGTTTTATCATAAAACTTCATAACAAAAATTTATCACGGATCAAAGTTAGAGTTAAAGCTAAAGTCAAAAATAGAAAATAAGAGGTAATAAGAAAAAGGGATGTACACCGATAACTCAACAAGGAGATTTGTGGTCACAATTTTTGGTGGAGGGGTAAAAAAAAAAAAATTATCTTTAATCCAAGATTTTAGAGTCCCTTGAAAATAGAATCATATTTATTAAAAAACGTTAATATTATTTGATGAACATTCAAATTTAATAAAATTATAATGTAAGTACTGAATATTAATAAAAAGAAATGTTGCGTTTAAATTTAAGAATAGATAAATTCAATAAAGAGCATTTTTTTTTCTTAAATAGACAATATTTGTGTTATACTCGAATCATTCGTAATATTATTTATCCTTTAATCTTGTTTTTAAAAATTGTGAAATAATAGCCTCCACCCTAAAGCTTCAATTCCTAATTGATAGTCAGAAACCTGTCTTGCCACAAGCCAAGAGTTTTTGATAGAAAAAATTTATTCGCATCGAGTATATATATTAAATATTATGTGTATATTAATTTAATGTATATATTACGGTATGAATAAGCTTAATTCGAGTTTAATTAATAATTTTAATTTGCTATAATTTGTAATAAATTATCAGAAATTTTGTTAAAATTATATTATAGTTATGGAAAAAATTATTTAAAATTAAAGAGTCTCTAAAGAATGAGTTTGTCATTTATTTTTGCTAATTGTGAATTACTAGGATTTACTTTAAAATGTAAAGTAAATGTGAAACAAATTATAGCCAATTCCTAAGGCATTTTCTAAAGTGTGAGAAAATTTACCATGACCTTTTTGCTTTAGAATTGACCCAAACAACTCCTAATTTGATATAAAACAATACTCAATACGAATTTAATTAATTTTCAAACGCCAAATTCAACTTGTATCTTAAAAAGTAATTGATCATGTCTTTTTGAACTATCAAACTAAACAAAACTCAATAAACAATAAGATCTTTTCAATTTTTTATGGTACATGCAAATTTGATTAATTCGATAAATTTTAAATATCAAACAATTTATTTATTTTTTAGAAAAAGTAATTGGGATGAGAAACGTGGTGATCACGCGTTGGGTAATTGTCATTTGTCAACTATCCCTTCAAGCCCAAGTTTTAACAGAAAGAAATATTTTATCTATAAAATTAGATAAAATAACACGGTATAATATCTATGAGTATTTAATTTACATAAATTAAATAATTGTCACATCATAGACAATTTAGAGAGTAGGGTCTCAATGTGGTGGTTTGGTTGGTTAGTTTTAAAAAATTATATCATTTTAATACTTTATGATTTATAAATAATATTAGGTTTTCTAAAAATTATCTAAATTATATTGATTTTTTTCTGTACCAGAATAATTCGATTAATTTTCTTTTTTTTTCTACTTTAAAGCATCACCTAAAAATATGTTATTAGAAAATATTTCTTTCGCAAACGTTTTATTATGTTATTTGATAGAGTATCTATTATAATATTTTTTAATTTTAAATCCAATTAATTAAACTCCAATAAAAGAGTAAAGAATTTCAATTACTTGAGACGGCTATAATCTAAATAAAAATCTATGAATTTAGGGAAAAACGGTCTGATATACCTCTCAACCTTGTCATTTGGAGCTGATACACCCTTCGTTATAAAAGTGACTCATATGTACC